TGATGACGTCGAGCTGGGGCGAAGCCCTCTATAGGGAGGTTCCCAGGGGAGGGGCGAGGCGTTCGAGACCCGGCGTGAATGGCCAGCGTGGGCCGCTTCCCTCGAATGGTATCAAGTGAAGCGGCTCGCGGGCGCCTTCCATGGCCCGTTTCCTCTTACGTTGTCGAGTGAAGCGGCTCGAGGGCCCCAAGACATCCCAGGAGGGCCTCAAAACGGTCCAAACACGGCCCTAAGAAAGCATCAGATGGCCTCCGGACGGTCCAAGAGAGCCTCGGGACGGCTCCACAGGCCCTCAAGAGGGCCCTCGAGAGGGCTTCAGAAAGCCAAAAACGTTGATTAATCAACGGTTTTTGAAGGTTTGTCGGGTTCTCGCCTCTTCGGGCCCAGAAGGGTCCAACACGGCCCACGAAGCCCCAATGCTCGTCCCAAGACGGCCCCAGAGGCCCCCCAAAAGGGGCCGACAACGGTTCAAGAGAGCCCCCAGACGGCCCAAGAAGGCTCCAAAACAGCCCCAGAGGGCCCCAACACGGCCCCAAGAGAGCCCCAAGACGGCCCCAAGATGCTCCCGAGAGACTCCCAAGGGGACCCGAAGAGGCGGCGTGGGGACTGGGCTGCTTGCGCGCAGGGACTGGGCTGGCCCCAAGACGGCCCAAGAGCTCCAAAACGGTCCTCAAGAGGGCCCTTCAACATTGACTTCCCTTAGGTTTTGGCACGTTCTTCGGGCTCTCGCCTTTTCGGGCCCAGAATGGCCTAACACGGCCCAAGAGGTCCCAAAGATCATTCCCAGACGTTCCCAGAGGCCTCCCAAAGGGACCGACAAGGTTCAAGAGGGCCCCCAGACGGGACAAGAGAGTGCCAGGCTGCTTTGAGCACCGTGCTCCACCAGTAAGCGCTGAGCCCCAGATGGTCGGCAGCGAACTGCTCCTGCGTCCGGCGCTCCCCCACGATCCACACCATGCGGCACCGCTGGCCCGCTTGGGCGGCGAGGCGAGGCGAGCGCGCGAGTTCGGTCCGCCGAGACCACAAACCCGGGAACATCTTGACCCGCTCCTTGAACTGCGCGGCGTAGCTGTCCAGCGTGCTCGACAGCGCGACCGCGTCCATGATCGCGCCCGTCCGAAAGACCTTCCAGCACTGCCCCCAGGACTCGGAGCAATCCGGGCCACTGATCTCAACCGAGCGCCGAGTCCCGTCTGGCTAAAGAATTTGGGCCACGAACTTGCCGCAGCGCTCGGCCCGCGATTGGCACGAGCACCACACGCCGAAGTCGACGTAGAGGCCCGGCCCGTGCTCGAGCAGCCAGCTCCCAGCGGTGAGCTGGGCGTCGGTGACTTGCTCCGCCGGGAGCGGCTGATCGCCCAGCGCGAGGTATCGAGCACACTTCTTCGCGAGCTCCGCCCAGCCCGCCAGCGGGATGCCGATGTCCTTCGCCTGGTCCTGTACGAGACTCAAACGCACCTTCGGCTGCACGCCCTACGGTTGAGCAGGGCTGCAACCCGCGCCCCTGCCCCGGGCTGCGACGCCCCCCCAGGTGGGGCCAGCGGCGGCATGAGCTCGACCAGCTGCATGCCGACCTTGAGGCGCACCGCGTTCACGAGCATGCAAACCCGCACCCGGTCGATGTCGGTGGCTGGGTCGAGGCCTGCGATGGCCCGCTCGTGAATACGTGGCGGGAGGGCTACCGACACCGGGATGCCAAAGAGATTCCTGTCCCCGGGCGCCGTGAGGTAGGCCCTGCGGATCGGTTCTGGCACCCCTGCCCATGTCGCGACCGCCGCGACATCGGCCCAACCAGCAATAACAATATCGTCCGGATACATGGCACGGTCGGCCATGCTGGCCATCGCGAGCGGCCGCAAAGAGGCGCGAGGTGCGGATCGAGTGCGCCACGAGCGACCTCTGGCAAGAGTGATCCAGCCCCCCTGAGTGGCGCGCAGCACTTGAGCCAAAATGGCGTCGGACGGAAATGCTGCAGGGGCACGCCGTGGTCCAGACCGGTACGCAAGGTCTGGACGGCCCCCTCTCCCGCCCACGCCACCCTGGCAAATGCAGCCAATGTTACCCTTGATATATTTTATCCGGAGCGGTGTACATGGACTTCCTGGCGGAGATACTGCGAGCAGCAGGCTGCGGGGTAGACGCGGGGCCAGCACCCATCCCGCCTGGGCGCAGCGCAGATGGCTGGGCACGAGCGTGCCCACCCAAGGAGCAACGGCAGCGCTCGGTCAGGCACTGCAGATCAACAAGGGACTACCCTCGTTCCGGGAGCGCGCTGGGGATGAGGCGACGGCGCTCGAAGCATCACACCCTACCGCGCCTCTGCGGTTAGCGGTCATCCTCCATGCGGACGACTCCGCTGCAACGGCGCCCTCGCGCGGAACTGCGCAACTGTTGCAGGCAGCGATGGCGGAGCGGGCGCTTCGTCAGAAGGCTTCCCCGCACACCAAGCCCTCTAAGCACGCGGTCGTGGCCCACGGAGGCGAGCACGCGCGGGCCGCAG